GATGAAGTATTAAAATAAATTACAGTAAAAAATAAAACAAAATAAGGGAATAAGAAGTAAATAATTTAAGAAAAAAATGAAGTACTTGAAAAAATAAAATAGAGTGAAGAAAAAAATAGAGTCAGCAAGGAAATAAATCAAGTAAAACGATGAAATAAATTAAAAAAATATAGTAAAGTAAAAAGTAAAATAAATACACGGACAAATCCAGGCAGATTGAAAATATCCTAGTTTCCCGTTCAAATCGACGTTAAATATCGGTTTTGCGTCACATGAAGGCAGCATCTGGTATAGCTTAATGGTTAGGGTCTTCGGTTTGTGTTAGGCAGGTCCCGGGTTCAATCCCTAAGGTAGGTAAAAATGTCTAATCTTCAAAATCGGGTAAATTACGTCCCTGTAGTTTCATTATTATTATTTTTCATGGTTTCAAAATTTATTTCCACAATTAACCCTTTTCCACCATCCCCTAGCTGCGAACCCCTACATTTTCTATAGCCGGCGATTGAGAATTCCTACAGCCAGCCATAGGAATTCTCAATCGCCGGCTATAGAAAATTCCTATCGCCAAAAGGCCATGTTTCAATTTACCATAGGATTTTTCCTATGGCCGGGCTATAGGTAATTTGTATGGCTTATTTTTACTAGGGTGAGAAAAACTTCATTTAAAAATGCCGAACTTTGGTCCATAAATGTGACACACCGAAGTTAATGTGCCAGCTGATTTGATTTTGGACTTTTTTAACATGTTCATTATGTTCAGAGTGGAATTATGATGGAGAGGTATACCTACTAATTGATTTAATTCATACCCAGCTGTATGGTCCATTATCGCAAGGGATGCTATTATGATGCGTAATCGTCCTGGAGATGAACCACGAAACAGGGGCATACAGGTACACAGCGCTATAGGGAAACCCGCACATTCGAAGAAAGATGAACACTGAAACACGCACGAAAGAAGCTCATGGCTGCTCTATTGTGCGATACAATTCGCATACCATTAGTGGCTATTCCAGAGGAAACTGCTATTTTCCCCACAGTTGGCAACCGTGGAAGGACTCGAGATCAGAGGGATGATCGATTGATATCTTCGGCGTAGCTCGCGCTAAGTATATTAAGCATCGCGTATGTAAACTAAACATTCCGCTGAGTAGCTCGCAGAGTGGTGCGTGTGTCAACCGCCCCAGCAGCATAAACCATGTAAATCCATAGAAAACGCAATGAAGGTGCGCGGTTCTTGTTCAGCGCGAAAGTGTTACGGTCCTTCGCACCGGGGACAACCACGTAACTCTAAAGGAAATTCTATTTATGGATACGTGGCTCTTGCACGACGTAAGAGTATCCTTGCCTTGTTACGGTAACAGCGATAATTAGAGAGTGGGATCCCTGGGCATATCCAGCTTGGAGAAAACGTCGGATTCATCCCTCCCCCTCCTCTCACGCCACGTGGTGAAGGGGAAAATCCTTATTGGCTAATGGATGTTTTCACGTGTGCTTGCATCAGGTGTGGACCTATTCTCTCGTTGGTTACGTGTGAGCGATGAAGATTGATCATCGCTTTCTCATTATGCTCTATAATTTCCTCCGATTACCAAAGTTGGATAGCCCTAAATTAGTCTCCGAACACCAATCCAGATTGGCGTTGATATTTGATCGGCTTAGTGCTGGTCAACTCTAACATTTCGTAGAGAAATTAGTTTCTTTTTGGGCAAATAGACTTTGATAGGCAAAGGACCCTGCACACCTCTTATGGGAAAGTGCGACGGATCTTTAATGGGCCTGTTGCAAACTTTTGCTGGAGCAAAAATAAAAGTTGTTACTCATAGAATGTGTCTCAAAAATCACGATGGGCGCATCATGAAAGTCTGAAATGTACTCCTTACTTCACAATTTGCTTAAGAAATTTGCGTCTTTTCGAGCTTCTTGCCTCAAAAACGATACCACGGCACAGGTGAACATTTTGTTACAGGAGTCATTTCATCCAACCCCTGCTCTCAAGGATACTACGCAATAGTCAACATAGCCGACGCCAATCTGTCAAAAATTATGTGACGGGACGATGATTTTAACCACCTATAATACCACCTAATATAATCGGCGTGTTTACATTCACATTTTTCTCGCTTTAATAGATATTCACCTTGATTGACCTCGTGCTCTCCTCAACCTTCGCGCGGAAGTGTCGGCCATAGGCTTGTGACCGCGATCGCAGTAGCAGGTAAAAATCACTGTGATTCTTGAGTAGCAGTGATCGATCACTGTGACTGGCGAGGAACACCTGTTATTCTGCTCTTTTTTTGGGCAGTTTTCATCAAAAGTTAGTCGCTGATAGTTAAACAGTGAGTAACCAAAACTTTAGTGTTAAACGGCGAAAAAAAATTATGAATGAGCTTGCTTATGGTTATCATAGTTACAGTTGGATACACTGCGATTGCGATAACGAAGCAAAAAGAGCAGTAGCAGTTTAACAGGAGCATGATAACAGTAGTGGCAGAGCAGGAGCAGAGTAGCATCATAGGGTGGATAGCCAATCACGTGAAATCTCCGAATATTACAATGCATTGTGGGTAGTGACCAGAGACCTTGGACCAACTCGACCGCCATCGCCATTTTATGTTTTGGTTTTGTTCTGTCTTTCCTATCTATTTGTTTATAATCTGTCCTTTCTCCTTTGCAAACTGGTCTGACGTGTCATCAACAAAACCGTGTCGTGCATGTGAAATTTTCATTATTTCTCCTTTTTTAACCCTTTTAACCGATTGAAAATAATTGTGCTAATCTAGTTGAAAGTTCTAACATAGGTCAAGCCTTCCTTCAGTTCTACCGGTTTAATCGCCCACATCAATTACTCTTAATGTTTTGAATCCTTATCACCAAATTTTAGTGTCAAGCACTCCTAAAAAAGTCTAAATTTTGATTATCAATCTCGTTTTTCACTCCAGGTGATTCATTCCGATTTTGTTTTCCTCCTTTTTTTGCACTAAACTTTTGTAGCAGTACCATGTCTGACTGGGAAGTAGTCGGTGGCAAGCACAAGAAAGAGAAGCCGTCCAACAAGAAAAACGCTAAGAAGGAGACTCAAAAGTTTCTGGACAAGGCTCCAAAGATTGAGGATATACGTAAGTCTCACAACTGTCTGTTAGTCCTGAAATTCTTTAATTTTTTATCTAAAATTCCACACATTCCCACTAGCGCTCCAAAAACATTTTTCCCTATTGTAATTTTCGATCTCACCTCATATTCATCTGTCTCTCTCTCTGGGCTTGTTGAGAATGTGAATTATACGCAAGTTTCCAATTGCAAGCCTTGGAATTTCTGCACATCCTTCAACTTCAACTGTCTTTTGCCCTAAAACTTCCATCGGAACTCCTGTATTGAGCACCATCCGTGTTATATACATTCGTCAGCTAATGTTCTTATTTTTACCCATCTCCCACCAAATATTCACAAATCTCAAAGACTTCTATCTGAAAGACAATTTCTGTACCTGCCCAACTGATTCATATGTGAAGCTAACATTATTCTTCATGTAATGGTGATAAACCACAATCTTAGTGCCACCATACATATGTCAGTTTAAATGATCGGCGCAGTTAGCCCTCAAATCCCCAGTTTCCATAGGAACATTCACAAGTTGCAGTAAATAAGCTACATATCTATATTTTAAGCAGATCCAAGGCCGCATAGCTTTTTGGTGTAAGTTCATTAAGTACTCAAGCAAAGGTGACTTCAGCATTCTATTGTTGGCTTACCTACATGGTTGATGTTCAACAATGTGTTGGCAGTTTTGTTTTGCAAACAAGCTGAAAATGGTCAAAGTTTGGGAAACTTGTTTGGCTCATGACGTCAGCTGAAGCTCATCATCCACCTTGTAGGTAGGTCAACAGCCAAAATTAGGGTGATGACTGTTGCTCCCTTATAACTGTCCATAAGGAACTGTTAAATCCCCGAGAGTAAAAGCTTCTACCTGACGCCAAGAGGCCAGTGGAGGGTCTTACGTGAGGGTCTTTACGTCTCTGATGCTGATGAAAGTGCATATTTATGTAAGTAGTGGTAACTTGGCTGGCACAAGTGCGTCTCTACAGAATGTTTAATTCTATCGTCAACAGTCCTATATTTTTCTTCATGGCAAATTACTTTGATCCTCATTGATGAATAAATGTGCTCTCAAACTGCTAACCAATTCCATGCTGACTGAACTATGTTTCACAGATGCTATTTTTGCCCTATACTTTGTAGGAAATCAAAGAAGCAATTTAATGAAGAGATGAAAATATGTATTCCTTTTTTTAATTATTTTATTTTTATTCTTTCACAGATGGCGAAACCTACCTAAGCAAATGATACAGTTAAATATCAACCTCGGATTCCTCCATCTGATTGTGCATGATGAAGAGACACAAGCCAAAAGAAAGTAATATCTGGCACCATTTTAAAGAAACTCAAGAGGATGGCAAAGCGACATGCAACATTTGTAAGAAAGTGCTATCTTATAAGACCACCATAACCAATCTAAAGAAACATAGGAAAGTTTTGTATCCTACAGTTCCCCTGCGAGAAGAAGAGCCTGTTCCCAAGGAAAAAAATGCTGGAAGTAGTAGTGGAAGTGGAGGAGGTTGTGAGGCAAGTGCAGGTATTATTAACATAGACGAGGAAGAAGATGCAGATGAACCACTGGAGCAAGAATCTCGACCTTCTACTTCTGGCATACCATCAAGATGCCCTGAAAAGCCCTCCGGTTCTACCAGTACAGCTTCCAATGCTGAAGCGTCTGTCAGCACACCCGCTGCTCCCAAATCCCCCCATACTGTTCAACCTTCCATCAAAAAATTTATACCGGGAAAATTTGGGCTCCTAGACAAGAAAGTTTTAGACAGGAAAATAATGAATGTTTTAATTAAAGACTATCGACCGTCCTCGACATTTCACTGCAGCGGCATGAAGGAACTTATAAATTATATGGCCCCAGATTATGTAATTCCAATTGCTAAACACTTCCCTGTCACGCTCTTAGACGCCATTTATAATGAGTGCATAGATAATATCATAAAAAAATTAGAAAATATTGATAGTTTATCAATCGCGACTGATCATTGGACCTCAAAATATGGAAAGAAGACTAATTTTATTGGCGTTACAGCCCATTACATTGATTCAGACTTCGTTTTTCAGCACAATGCACTTGAGGTCATTCAATTCAGAGGCCGACATGACAGTGAAAACATTGCTAGAGCACTGAAAGATATTTTGATTAACAATTGGCATATTTTTCACAAAATTTTGATTTTTACCACAGACAATGCTGCAAACATTGTCAGGGCAACAAAAATATGTCTAGAAAAAAAACACCTCGAATGTTTTGGGCACAAAATAAATATTTCTGTGGTCAACTCTTTTCCTCTGAAAGATCTTGAAAGTTTGCCAGCGCGAGAAGAAGGACAGGAAGAAAATGAAGACGATGGAATAGAAGAAGCAACAGATAATGATGACGATTTTATTTTTGAAGAAGACGAGCTCGAGAATGCACCTGAAAGTGGTCCTAACATTGTTCTCGTTGCATTTCAAAAAATGAAAACAATTGTCAATTACAGCAAAAGGAGTCCTCAGTTTGTCGAGAAACTGTTTGATAATCAAAAAATTTTGGGCATCAGAAATCCTCTTGTACTGATACAGAGTGTAAAAACCAGATGGAACTCCATTTACTACATGACAAAAAGGTTCCTTCATTTAAAGCAACCCATTCAGATTACGTTGGCGACTACAACTGCTGTAAAACTTGAAGCATTGACAGATGATGAGTGGCTTGTGCTGGAAGAGGTGTGCGAATTATTGGAGCCCCTCGAAGAAGTGACAACAGAACTGAGTTCCCAGAACTACGTGTCAGCCAGCAAAATTATCCCTGTGACGAACGGTCTTGTCTCTGTACTCCAAGATAAAATTGCAAAAAATCGAGCGAGTCATGTAAGAATGTTTGCGGAAAAATTGCTTCAGCAGTTGAAAGTTCAGTTCGTCAGCTAATGTTCTTATTTTTACCCATCTCCCACCAAATATTCACAAATCTCAAAGACTTCTCCCTGAAAGACAATTTCTGTACCTGCCAGCAGCGCTGTGCAGCGCTACCTGGCCGAACCGATCCTTAACAGAGAAGATCGGCAGCACTTCAGTTTCGCACAACTTCAGTTTCGCACAGTTTTTATAAATGCACGATGTAGCAACATTGCAAGCCCTCAAATGACACTAAAAATGACACAATTAAAGAAATAGAAAAAGAAATGAGAAAAAGATAAAAGTTGACTCACCAGTTAGGTGTGATGCGGATTTTCGACTTTATAGGTCCAGGTAGATAGGATCGTCTGGAGATCGCCAATCTGGATCGTCTGGATCGTCTGGAGAAATATCTAGATCGTTCTCGAAGGCGGCTGGACCGTTTTCTTTAGAGTTTTTTGGCTGTTTAAAAGGGAATAGTTTCTTTTCATCGCCAACAACTTGTAGAAATTGTAAAGTATTGAAATACTTATAAGTATAGTAAGCGTGAGTAGCGATTATGATGTTTTCCTCCAATTTTATTTGCTGTGGCCTTCGTTGAAAAGTCTCTTTTTGGAGGACCGAATTTATTTTTAACTTTATCATACTTTGATTCTGCTTGATACTGCCTACTACAGCGTGTATATTCGGATGCGAATGGTAGAATTCCATCTGCAGTTTACTATTATAGCTCTCTACGGCGTTAGTAGTTTTTGGTACACATTCTGTTAAAGGGCACGCCCATAGAGTAGGTGGATAGCTCGTCGAATCAATGTAATTTTTTTTTACATAGTTGGCAAATTTTTTGCATTCTTCATGAGGGGGGGTGATACTGCAGTTTACCGAATGCGGACGGAACATCTTCCGGTTTTAGATACTTAGGATAAAGAAAAAAATAACGTGAGCCATTGTTTGATGTGTTGTACGTCTGGATTATCTGATGTTTTTGAGTAATATGCGTACCTTAACTTTGGCATCCGGTGAATCTTTTTCTCTTAAAATTCACGTTAAAAACCTGCTACATACGACACGCTAACCCCGCGCGAATGACCGGCGAGAGCACACTGACTTCACCTGAAAATTAGGTGCTCAATCAGATCAACTGAGTGATGATACGGAGATAGCGTATAAGAGTTACGGGCGCGGCGATCGTCAGTGCTCTACTCTTGCATCAGTGATAAGCGGGCGAGATGTGTGAGATGAGGGAGTTGTAATCTAAATAATTGTCCTAAACACTCAGATTCTTCACGCATAGCTGTCAAATCGTGCATTTATAAAAACTGTGCGAAACTGAAGTTGTGCGAAACTGTAGTGCAGCCAGAAGATCCTAAAAGCGACCCTTGTCGTTGGTGGGGGCGGCACAAGCGTCTGTATCCGCATCTGAGTGAGTTATTTAGAACAAAAACCTGCGTAACAGCCACATCGGTGCCATGTGAATGCCTCTTTTCCAAAGAGGGTATGATTTTGACGCAACGCCGAGCAAGAATGAGTAATGACAAAGCCAGTAAACTTGAATTTTTGAAGAATAACATGTAGGTCAAGACTGAGCTAGGTACCGACTTATGTACCTACCATTCTCTAGTTGATTGTCGCAGTATTACCGTATCATTCCCTCCTTTTATCATGGACTGCCTTTAACTTAAGGCATGTATTTTTCATTGATCTCCTATCACTGCCCTTTTTTGATGTATTGTACTACATTTGTTCTTATTTTGCCAGCAACATTCCTAATTTTCTTAAGATTGAGCTACCTGGTACAAATTTGTGTTTTTCCTAAAAGTCTTTAAGAATAGTTGTTCTAATTAATGCAAAATAAGAAAAGTCTCTATTTTCTACTTTCATCTGCCTTTACTTAAAGTTGTATTTAAGGTTTTGAGACTTTTCGTCCCTTTTTTTTGAGGCCATAAGGTACTCTTGTTGTCATTGTGATAGTACAGTCTTTATTTTAAGCTTAAATGACCTGTTAATTTTTGTTACCGAGAAACTTTGAATCTAGTTATTGTTCTTTGTTCTTTATAATAATGAGAGCCTTCTTTTAAATTTTTCTCTCAAAAAGGCTGATTTTATGCACTGACGGATTGTGTGCCTTGTGTTCAAGTAGGAGGTAGGTATGAAGGATTACCTAGCCCTGTTGAGAATTCTCCTAGATTTTTTGGAGGATGTGCACTACTCTTGTTCTCATTATTTCTAAGATTGAGCCGCCTGGTCCAAATTTTTGTTTTTCCGAAAAGACTTTAAGAATAGTTGCTGTTTTAATTAATGCAAAATAATGAAAGTATCTATTTTCTACTTTGATCTGCCTTTACTTAAAGTTGTATTTAAGGTTTTGAGACTTTTTGTTCCCTTTTTTTTGAGGCCATTTGGTACTCTTGTTGTCATTATGATAGAAACATCTCTTTATAATAAGCTGAAATTACCTGTTATTTTGACAATGTTACCTAAGAATTAACGTAAATGTTTCAAAATGAGATTTAATACCTGTTTTTTGGTTTGTTCTAATTAAGTATTCGAAAATAAATTGAATTCATAATGTTTCATAATAAATAATTTTTATCTCCTTCATTTTCTTGCTGCTATCATTCAACAAATCACAGGTAAAAGTAGCAGTGAACCCACGGAGTGATCTGTCACTGGTTGACCTAAAAAGGAGAATTTAACTTCAAAGAACATGGCATAATGATAAAAAGTGAGAGCTATAAAAATATTCACCTAGATTATCACTTCGAGAAGTTTTTTAAAGTTAAATTCTCTTTTTCATGTCAACCAGTGATAAATAACTCCGTGGCCTCACTGCTACTTTTACCTGTGATTCACAGATAGTTCCGGAAATGAACTGTGTAAGTATATTTTTAATAACCTCAGGAAGTATAGTGAGAATCTTAGGGTGTTTCATTATTTAATTCACTACTAAAAAATGTAATCCATCTATATTATACAGCTACAAGCAAAATCTTGGAAGCACTATTTCTGACGAACTACCGGACCGATAAGGATGATCTTTACATGTATGTCATCTGTAATAGCTGTAGATGTGCAAAAAATTATGAAACCCCGAACTTTTAATGTTTTAGAGCTTTTAAAGCTCATGTTACTTATGTCCAATGTTAATAGCGTGAGAGATATGTCGTTTCCGCTAGAAACGTCGAGGTGTGGGATTCTACCTGAGTGACTCGAATAAACTATAGAACAATAGAAAAGCTCTTGTAGGACTCCTCATTACGAGAGTTGAGGGACGGTGCATCGCTCAGGGTTAATCAAAGTTCAAGGTCCAAAGTATAAGTTTTTTACTCAATTTTTCCTCATTCTACAAAAACGCACCAAGTCGCATTTTCCAAAAAATTGAGTTAAGAGTAGTTTTCAGCTCAACTAACTCTTCACTTTTCCCTTTTCTCGAGTTCATCTACATGCGACTTGATGCGTGTCTATTCAACGCAGCCCAATTAAAATCCCTTTCCTTTCTCAAAGGAAAAGAAGAAAAGAAAAGTTAAATTCAACGTGCGGATGTGAATGTCAAAAAATACATTTTTTGAAATTTCAGCGCACATTTTCTGTCAAAGTATAAAAATGCATGAGGACTGGATTCGCCGGAAAATATATGCCGAATTCAACAATTTTAGCGATATATTGCATAGCATAAGAGCTCTTTTTGCATAACGATGGCTAAAGTCGAAAACCACGTACCTTGCTCACGGTTTTCAAGATTTCCGCATCTAATTTAAGATTTCAAAGAGAAATGAGCCAATTTTATCGCTTTAAATTTTCACAGAATATTCTTCGAGCAGAAGTGAAATCACAGTCGTTTTCAAAACATTCAGTACGTTGATTGGTTTTCCAATAAATTAAAAAAAATGTAAAAAAAAGTATGACGAGAAGTATAGGACGTCGCAAAATGAGATACACGTTTCCCGAGTTTAGCCGTCAATATACTGCCTCCATTAATATCAAATTATGTACATTCACCTGTTCCTCATCATTTACAAATCTGAGTGTTACGTTAAAAATTTTGAAATCGATGCAGCTCAAACACAAAATTGTGTATAAAGTGGAAGAACATTTTTGCCTATACATATGCGTAAAGGGCCTGCGAAGCAGGCCTGAGGGCGCTTAGCGCCCTCCAGGGGGTTGGGCCGCGTAGCGGGCAGGGGGCAGGGCCCCCTAGTAATATAATAAAGCATTAGAGGAAGTTAGGCAATGTGAAATGCGGTTAGGCTGATTCTGGCTAAATCCGCCCGAATGGCATCTGTAGTTCATTGATGCGCTAGTATCTGAAAAATATATTTTGCATGAGTAATTGGCAAGGACAAGAGGCCGAAAGCACCGCTGCTGCCATGCTGCTGCCATGCCGCTGCAAAGCCCCGCTGAATGGGAGGACGCTTCGACGCGACGCGGCGCGGCGGCGGGTGCGATAGGTCTTGATCCTCGCTGTATTGTACCCTAATTAACAGGAATCAACGCCATTTATTGCTACATTTTTTCCTCTTACTCTGACGTTTTAATCCTTCGAAATTATGAATTTACACCGGGAGAGGGATGCGCCACGGCCGAGGGCGGGGAATTTTGTTTGGACGTTAGATAACCGGACAGTTATTGCAGTGCCCGCCTGTTTTCTTTTATGACGACTTTTATGACGGTGTTGCCAACGAATCGCGCTCCGCATTACTTTTAGAGGCATGCGATTTGTTGGGAAGGCAGAGAAGCTGGTAATACACGTTAATCAGATCCATAGAGTACTCTAGAATCCATAGAGTACTCTAGAATCGGTGAAACTCATCAAAACAAATTATTTTTATAAAAATATATATACCTCCGCCTTCTTTTGTAAAAAAACAAGCTGGTAAATCCAACACGTGGTGTTGGAAGAGCGTGCTATAAGATTACTAGGGGGCTACGCACCCTGGCCGCTACGCAGCCCAACCCCCTGAAGGCGCTCTGCGCCATTAAGGGGCCGCCTCGCGGCCCATTTTTGTAGCCGCAGCCTTAATGAAATTCATATTTTCATGATAATATTTGTTCAACAATAATCTCGGCAAAACTTTCATGACGGAAGTAGTAAGAACCCAATGGACTAATTCAAATGCAATGTCGCGAAGTTTCATCTAATAAAGCATTATATTACGCGATGACGGTCGCAATATTTTTTAATGATGACATTCGTTTTTATATTTTGTATTTTATTTGGTGATTATTTATCTACAATTTCCTTGTCAACCCTGGTAAAAATGGCAAGTGTTAGGTCAGTGAATTTTCCACTGAGGTCAGTGCAATTTGCTCTGAGGTCAGTTCAGTTTTCTCTGACGTAAGTGGTAAAGCACTTACACAAGAAGTCAGCACTGAGGTAAGAGGCACTGACGTCGGGAGAAAGACTTACCTAAGTGCAGATATCTCTGAGGGAAGCGGGACTGAGGTCAGGACATGGTTCAAAGAGTAGAGTCTCTGACATAAGTCTTAATCGAACCGCACTCACTCCCAAAAAGTAGAGATGGCTCCTCCTTCCCCCACCCTATTTCATTTTCGTGGGGGAATATTTCCTCGGGATACGGGAACCACAAACTTTATCTTACAGAGAGGCATATTTTTTAGGAGGGGGATTTTCTAAGAGGGAAGGAAAACTTATTCACGTAGCCACACTCATGAATAATTTGCTTTACCTTCTTCGTTTATGATGGCACTAAAATAATTAAAACACACAAAAAATGAGATCGGTAAAAATATTATAACCGCTAGATGTATTATGTTTTAGATGTATTTATTTAAGCATATTATTGTTTTTTTAACTTAAGAGTTTTTTTTATGTTAAAAAAAATGTTTTAAATTTGGTTTTAATTTTTTTCAGTTTTAACTCTTTTTCAAATCTTTCAGTCTTAATTTTTTTTAAATTTTCCTGATTTATTTTTAATTCTTTTCCCATGTTTTTACTCCTTTACTTTCAATTTTTGTAACTGCTAATTTATATTTTTGTATAATTTCAACTTTAATTATTTTATTATATCCTAAGCTATAGGTAATTTTGAATTTCAATGCGTTCCATTTTCTTTTGTTTTTATAAAAACATAACTTATAAAACTTCATTTACATGTTGATTGATGAAAAAAGAATAATAAAAAAATTAAATATCGGATTCAAATTCAAAGACAAAATCATCATTTGCTGGCAAAATTACTCCAATGGTTCAGTCGCTAATTCGATCACCGAAGTTAAGCTACGTCGGGCGTAGTTAGTACTTAGATTGGAGACCGCATTGGAACGAGCGTTGTCCACTGAAGATTGTGATAATTACTTGTGATTGAAAACTCACAGCAGCCCTCCCTTGTCGTCAAATAGTGAATTAACGTACCCGGCGGATCGGTAATTAGCTAAATTTTTGCCTCTACAGTACTTCTGGGAGTTTCCACTCCACTTACGGCGGAGACACTTAGGTCAGTGCCACTTACATCAGAGGCACTTGCCTTTGGAACAGACCGAACACTGACGTAGCAGATCAGCGCCCGGCAGCACTGATATCAGTGTTTAGGTCTGTTCCAAAGGCAATTGCTACTAATCTGAGCACTTGCCTTTTTTACCAGGGAAAACATTCACCCATGAGTTATCAGGTGAACCTTTGAAGCATTGCAATTTTATTCCGTTATGGCTCTCCTCCCAGCAATTGTGAAAGAGAGTGGGTACATGCTCACCAAGATAGGGACTTTCTTCCACACCTTCTATGTATTAAATTAATTTATTTCATACGTACATTTTGATAAATACGGAAGAAGAAAAATAAGAAGCCAAAAGGATGCGATTACCAATGATTGATTTATGATTCATTGCAGTAAAACAACGATTCGAGATAGACAGGTACTTTACAAAAGATTCCAAGCTAGGAATCGAACCCCGCCTCGGCGTGTATAGGCGCAATTGACGCCTTTGACGATTCGGCCACTGCCCGTCGCGCAGTGGTTTTTTAGCGGCAAAAACTCAATTTTCCCAAGAACATTTTTTATCATAAAATATGTTATTTTCCTATTGCTAAGGGTTCACACTAACATAAGTCAATAATATTTTTTATTGTCATTCTTTTTTAAGATTGCTGCCGGCTGCTAAATTCAGAATTTTTATCCTGTAGAAGATATTCCTTAAAATAAGCATTTTTTACGCTGAATTCAGCTGATTCTATTTAATCATAAATCAATTTTTTTTAGAGAAACAGCTTTGATACCTGTTATTTCTAATTCATATAGTTGTGATTTCTCGGGGTAGTTAAAAAAGAAAAGAAAAAATTCTTGAATGACAGGGATAAAACCGGGTGTTCCTCGAATTTAAAAATCACTACAGAACTATCGGCGTAGGAAGATTCTTAAAAAAAAAGCTCTCAAGGGATGGTAAAAGAATACAGGCATTTTCAGAGTCAAAGGTACATACCTAGTAACTTCCCTGAAAATATTTCAACCATATTCAACCATGTTTAGAAGTTACAGGGGTTGAAACATAGCAAGGGCGCGAAGAAAACACAGTTTTTGAGACATGATCGCGCGCTGCACTGCTGTGTCCAATTTCATTAGGTAGTT